ACCTTGGTCCAGCTTGCAAATCAACAACCCAACCTGGCAATTGTCAATACAAAGCAGAGCGCATAATCAATTCTTGCGTTGAACACTTCAAAACTCTGCGCCTCACACAACTTTGAAAGCTCTGACTCATAGATGTTTTCGCTGTGTACCTGAACAATAGATATCTCAATCCCTTTTGCTCAATGCTCCTTGAATGTCGTTTGAGGTCCTGACCTGCCCTGTTCGATTCAGTCCACTTGTCGATGACCCACCCTCAACAACATAGTTGTCAAGCATGTCAAACCACAGAATGGTGGGGGCTACACCTCAATCCAAACTAAACAGGCCTGCCAATTAATTATCAAACGAAACCCATATGACCTCAATCGAGATAGGAACACTTTCAGGCGCTCAATGTCCAAAACACATGACTGGAACCGTTCCAGCCTTGACTGCTTCAACGTGGATGGGGCGCTGTGGCCTCAGCCCAAAAAAACATTGTGTTACTGTTCTGTTTGCTCCATGAACCCAGCAAACTTGCACACATGGCACTACAGTAGATAGAGCAAGCCTGTATACAGTGGGAATCTTTTTCAACGCCACCCGAAGCATCCATCGATGCACCCAAGCTTGAGGTGCATTCATGCGTCCCCAAAATGCGATTCACCCTGGGCTGTCTTCAAAACCCAACTTCTGCAATTGATTCTCAGCCAGAGGAAAACCCAAAGCACAACCCCTTGAAATAGGTGAGACCCACAGCTACAATTTGAGGTTTCTCCGCTCTCGTTCAGCAGTTGTCATAGAACTCACCAACGTGAAACGGTCAGTGGAACCCAACCACAGCTGCTCCATAAACTGGCGGCGTCTTGGTCCAAATTTCTCAACATACCTTGCAACGAAGGAGCGCAGAGGAAGATCAAATGCGATCCGACATGATTTCACAAAGAAGCAATCGTTCCAAGGTGCTCATCCATAAAAGCCTTCTTTGCTTTAGAGTAGGGTGTAAGTTCTTTGGATCCCCTCTTACGCCCCTGCGATTTCCCAACAGTCCTAGCAGGCTTCTTTGTGGCCTCAGGTTTCAAATCAAGAAATAAACGCAATCTTACTGTTGCGTGGACAGTGCAAACTAGTCAAAGTCAAAGAGCCGATGCTTTCCCCGGAGTGATCAAAACAGGATCTGCACTGTTGCGAAGCGCACGAAGTTCAAGATCTTCCTTGAGCTGTAGTTTTCCAAACTTGGTATACACTAGACACTAGACCCAAAAGAACACACCCAAAGTCATGTTGCGCCAAAAGGCGAATGAAGTGGGGAAATCTCGCTTGCACATTACGCAATGGCAAGGCCCAGCCTCACGACGCAAGCCAGCAAATGTCGAAGACAAATTTAAATATGGCCCACCTGCCTTCGACCTGATCCACGAACATTGCTGCGTCAGTTCCTGAAGTTGGTAAACAAGTGGCCGCGCATATTGCAATTTACTGTTTGCCCCGTTTCATTGCAAAGCGCCCGGCTTTGATCCTGGCAGTCTTGGCCATGACCTTCCATTAAACCAGTATGCATTTATACGATGATGACTGGACATCCCTTCACAATGTAACTACACTGTTTGTTTCTGAAGTCAGAAACCTGCGGCCTCAGCGTCAATGGTTGGATCCGACTTTTGTTCACATAGCTCCTGGAAAAACTGGAAAGCGCAGAAAAAGCACCCTAGGGACCTAGAGTTTTTGTTGGGTTGGAAAAGTGAAAGCCACAACAACCCCACGATTCAAACCACCCGTCCTTCTTCCGGAAATATTGTCCATTGCACGTGTTGCGGAAGACACCCATGACTTCTCCAAGAACTGCTTGGGGTTTGAGCCGCTGCCCTGCTGACCGCAGGCAGAAGAAAGTGGGGTTTCATAGTGCTTCAATCCACATCCACACAACACACAGGTTTAGGTTCGACCTTTTGCAACTTGAATGCGCTGAGCATGTCGACCATGAGACTTTGTGGCCCAACTAGGTCACCAAAAGTGTTTTTGCGATCTAACCTATAAGCCATCAAGAAAAGAGTTTGGAGTTCTCCTCCTTTGCTTGTTTGAACTACGGTCAAGTTGGGCCATGGATCAGCAATCGGCCACAGAATCAAGAGTGAGCCCTGGCGCCGGACTCACATTGCCCATCCGCTCGCTGGCCTTCCAGGTTCAGAAGTGTTTGATATCGGTTCACGACAAAGTGGAAAGATTGCGACAAACACATTTCTTTCTACAACCTCAGAGCCCCTATAAACTTCTGATTTTTTTAGTGGACAGCAAGCCTAATCAGTCTTCCTCCAAGTCATCCATAGCATCCACTTCGCATTCCTCCTCTTCCCCCTCACACGCGGCGTCAGCCAATTCCTCATCCTCTGAGGGCTGGCGCTTGCCGTGCTCAGAAGCAGATTTATTTTTGGTCAGGGCTCGCTCAACCATGGCATCCTGGCAGGTCGATTCGACGATTGCAAACATCATATGACAGCAGGAGCACTTGTACTCTCACATGTGGTTTTCAGCCCAACGATACCATAAGTGCTGTTTGGGTACTCGCATGATTTGAGCCGCAGTGAGATCTCCACCAGTTCGCACAAGTTCTTCACGGAGGGCCACCTCATAAGCATCTAACTTACACACAAAATCAGCTAGCCTTTACTGGCTTATCTTTTTCAAGGGTTCAGCCGCGGCGCCGCAATGGTTTCCAGCTCATGTTCTTCGATCCCAGGAACGGGCTTTAACTTAGTTGAGATTGCTTGAAGGCATGTTCGATATGAGTTGGACAGCGCAATGGCCAAAGAGACATGGAACCAAGCTAAAGGGAACTAAACTTATGAATACATGTTCAAAACGAGATGCTGCGAAGACTTGTTTGCCGTTCACCTTGAAGCCAAAAGTCCCATTCTTGTAGAGCCCCTTCGAAACCAGTACAGGCTTCTTCTTGGGAGGGTCACTCCCCTTGCAAGATCCTGCTGACGATGCAGGCCTCTTCAAAACATTCTTCGGTGAAGGCTTGCTAGTGGGTAACAGCGTCTTCGGGCCGGGTTTCGGTTTGGCCTCTGCGATGGTTTTGGCCTCTTCACCTGTGGGCGGCAGTTTGGGCTGCGGTGCAGGTGGTTTTTTCATGGGCAACAGCTTCTTCGGACCAGGTGTTGTTTTGCCTGACCTTTGCTTTAGGCTTAGGCTGCGAAGAATTCCTCTCCTCCTCATCGGACAAAGTGTCCACAGATTGTAAAACCATGGCAGTGACTAGGTAGTGGTACCCTGACATTTGCTCCTGATGTGAGGGGCGCTTGTGCATAATGATTTCATGTACACGTACACGTCAAGTATCAAATACGATCATAACAAGTGCATCAAACATCTTTCATTTGAAGCGCTTGGTTGGAAGCTGGATTGTTTTCAAAGCTGAAGTTATCGGTTTGCCATTGCAAGGATGCACCATTCTGGCGCCGCAACCCCTGACAAAAAAACCCAGTCAAGCTGGAATGGCACGAGGGTTTCAGCACAAAACAAGCCGTTCTTGAGTATCAGTTGTTCCTGGGGTTGATGGTATTGCATGGGGTGCCCAACTCTCTCTAAGCCATTTCCCAAAATGCGACCACGCTATCCCCACTAAAGTGTTCATCACTTTAGCTTTACTCCGTGCCCCGCGTCAATTTGCAGAGCGCACAGTAGATAGAACTTGGGCTTCTGCGGCACAAAGGCTGCTGGAACTTCCGCTCCCACATTCACCTGATCAGAGTTGGCTTCATTTTGCTCTTGGCGCAAAGAAATGTTGAAGGTTGAACAAATTTGAAACAGCCCAGCAAGACACTGACCAATATTTTAGCAACCATGCCTCCCAGATCACATCGCAATGTGGTGCGCGAGGAAGCTGGTGGAAGCGATCATGGTACACTGCGCCCAGCTGAGAAGCTCGCAACTCAGTCCTTGCTGCATCAGCTGGGAGCTCCCGTGGCCTGTACACATTGACCTTCCCAGCTGGCTGGATCCTGTACCTGAATTGGAGTGGCACTTCAGCCCCACCATCCGCCTGCATTGGCACACACATCAAAATAACTTTCCTTCCCTGGTTTCCATCACATTAGAAACAAACATGGCAGAAAAAGCTGGCCTTACTCATCAAAGGCTACAGCGAGTGATCTGTCATTCGTACTTCCGTGACCCCGCGAGTCTTCGCAAGACCGCAGAGCACTTCTGCAATGGATTGGAGTTTCTTCTCCTCGGACACAAGCGCGACCAATGCACGGTCGTCCTCCACCAACCACCCACTGCCATTGTTGGCTGATCGGGCTGAATCTCCAGGGGGTTGGGATCGAATGAAATCACAAATTTGAGTCTTTCAACATTTTTACAGCCGCCCCCCCAGCCTGCTGGCACTTCGGCAAAGCTGCCGGTGTTGAAGCCAAACAGTTCGCCATGCTTGATCAAAGCAGCAGAAGAGCCACGATTGACCAGCCATAGCCCACTGGAGGTGACAATCACCTGCACGTCGCTGTATCGCTGCAATGGAGCTGCAGCATCAATCCTTACTTGATTGCACACATATTGTGGCCCAACCGCCAATCACACTCCCCAAGCTTCCCAAGCCCACCACACAGGAATCAAGAAACTTCCACGCAACAGACAGCTTAGGATCGTATTGTCCGTTTCAAAACGGGCCAATGGCACCTGCTCGAAAGTCTGCGTTTTGTGGAAATTCAAAGGGAAGCTGCCTTGCCAGTCCGGACTTGCCAAAGTGCGGCTCTCTCAGATCCAGAGTCGCCTGTAGCAGTGGTGGCGCCTGGGGTGCTGCTGGAATGTGCCTTGAGCAGCTGGTTCAGCTTGGTGTCCGCCACCAAAGAGTCCATGGCCTTTTTCAAGCCCTCGCTGCAGATGTTGGCAAAGTTCTGCTGCACCAGATCAGGAATCCTTGGCCAGGCAGCGCCACTTCAGTGTAAAGCGAGCTCAATGTTTCTGAGCCAACCGAGGGGAGTGGTGTAAACAGCAAACATGTAGACAGCAAAAGCTCAAAAAGTTAACATGTTTGAGAAGAAGGTCTTCACTTCACCATCGTTCAATGTCAGGCATTCCAGCTCTGGCAAAGGTTCCGAGAACGGTACAGCAGCTCTTGATTTGCTGCCTGCCTCTGGGCTCTTGTCCCACCAACTGTGCATCGCCTTGCCAGTGATCAGCTCCTTGGCGCTGTTCAGATCAGCAGCGTGATCAGTGTGGTAGCAGGCCGCAAATCGTACGTCCCAGGCGCTGCTACCACGAAGAAACTCAAGCTGCATTTCCCATGCGGCTTGGGACCACTCTCCAAATCTCAGGGAGACAGATTCAATCAACCGTATGACCATATGAAAGCAACAATGACCTATTTACAACAACTGGTGAACCACACCGAACTTAAAGAGTTTGGACGCACCTCGATGGCAGCAAGTCGCATATCAGCAATGGTGAGCCATGGGAAGCACCCATGCCTTGGAGGAGCTGCTCAATGATGGCTTGGCAAGCTGGGATGCCGCGCTGCTGCACCTGCAAGCAGAAATGAAAACCAATAATATGAAAGGTATATCAACCAACAACTCGACATCCCCCAACAAGTGCCATTGAGTTTACAGAAAAGTAAAATTTGCGAAGCTTATCAAAGGTGCCCGCCAATGCGGCGCAAGACTGTGCTCTGGGTCGGGATTCTGCAAATCCGTCACCCTGGTCCTTTCTATGCCCTCGATCGAGCCCAGCAATGCTTTGGACTTCGAGAAAGCTGCGTTTGTGGTGTGGCCACAGAGTGCAGCTATGCCTAAACCCACATCCCAAACACACACACACACATGTGCACATGTGCATGTAAGTAGTTTTTGTGTTGCGTTGATAAGAAGTTATCCCGTACAAGATGCACTGTTGCGACTTCTTTCGCTTATCCCCGGAGTGCTGGGCATCAGCGTAGTTGAGGCTCACCTCGTAGACATCCATGCACCTTAGCAAAGTGGTCACGATTTCGACACCTGCTGAAAACCCAATGAGCCTTTTGTTTTGTTGCTTCAATTCGCAGCTTTTGAAACACTTGCCGACAGGGATATTGCTGAAGAGACACCCGAGCAGCTTGTCTTCGAGGAGTCTTCTGTTCTTGAGAACTGAGTGCTTGGATGATGAAGTGTAGTATTGAGGGAGCATGATCCAAGCCAATGTAGAAGGATTTCCAGAGCACACCGATTGGCAGAGCGTGACAGCTTCATCAATGGTCAACGCGCCTGAGAGCCACGCAATCGATATAGTTGGGAACAGGGGAGTGACATGGCACACAGAGGGTAAGGTCTTGTAAAATCCTAGCGACGGCTTGGCCACAAAGTAGCATCCATGACGAGGATTGTCAACCTGAAAACTCAACCACCACGCTTGAAGACCCTGATAGTCACTGGACAGAGGCCAAACAGATTATATGGACTAAACCAAGAGGCCCTGCAGTGCCCATTGCAGCCTGAAGGTTAACGATCACTGGGTGCGCGAGGGTCAAAGAATTGAAATGGACCAACTTGTGTTTGTTTTCCATCAGCTTGGCGATTTCCCGTTTGCCCCTCTCGAAGCGGTCAGACAGGTACTTCCAGTCCAACTTCCCCTGCAAAAAACGGTTGGATCATGTGTTGGATCAATTCCCTCCACGCTTGTTTGATTTAAGAGGTCTGGCCTGTTGGCTGACGAAGACATCGAAGCGGACCCCCCAAGACTTCAGCTTGGTCAGGTCGCTCTGGATTTTCAACTCTGTTTGGTTCCAGGTAGTTTGAAGGAGTTGAGCCGACAGCCTCGACGCGCATACGAACTGGTTCGTTGACCCGGCCAGAATCCCTCCAGCAAAGCTTTCACTCAACCTGCCCCCACACACACACACACGCACTCAGTGAAGGACTCCGCTGCGCGTTCTTGCTGCTTGTGCTCTGTCTCGGGGGCCCAAGGGACATAGATGGAGAAAGGCTCAAGTCTAAACATTCCTTTCATATCAATTTGTTCGCCCAAAACTGTTAGCGGGCCTCGGCATGGTACTTTGACAAATGTGTGGCAAAGATGCTCACCTTGGAAATGTCTAGCGGCGGGACGGAGTTTTCCAAGATTGAAGTCAAGTCTGCATCAGCATGCCGCAGAGCAAACCTCACAGTCCAAGGGTTCACGATGTTGTCTCGAATGTGCTTTCTTGATGGCTGGTGCACACACATGTGACATTCAGAAACCGAACAGTGTCGAGCGACGCCCGATCGATCTCTTCAAGCGCTGCGTGTGCAAAGGTGTGGGGCACCATCTTTTGGAAAGTCTCTTTGCAGGTGAGGTATGCTCCGCAAACCCTTTGCAGCTGTTCCTGAGTTTTTGGAAAGGGCAAGTAGTGAATTATAACTATTTAGCGACTTGTTGTCAAGCTTGTTCGACCGGTAGGGACCTAGTCCAACTCCAACCCAAGAATCACAATCTTTCACATTCCATGGCTTCCTGCTCTTCACTGCCAGCGCCAACCAGTCCTGCTCCATCCTTCCTACCAGGAGCTGGAGAAGAGCCTCCGAGTTCGTGAGAGTCTCCTTCCAGCTTGCCAGGATCCCAGTGCCCGTGGTATGGTTCAGGTTAAAGAGGTCTGCCGCCAGAGCATCGTGGTTGAGGAACTTCGGCATCGAGTGCTTCCTCCAAAACAGCAACAGCCCGTCAATCCTATCATTGTTCATCACTCCTTGCATGCGCATTATGAACAAGAAAACTTCCAGCCTCACAAGGGATGTGAGCTGAACTTTGATGTTAGCTGGCACCCGATGAAGCAAATTGAGAGCTGCGCTGCTCTCAAGCTTTCCCAGTTGGTACGCCGCAGCAAGATTACTGATCGAATCATGCGCCTCTGCGATTTGAGGGGCGCATAGCTAGCAAGGTCGAGCAAAGCAACAACAACCATTTGGCTGGCCTCCAAGGATGCTGAGACCTTTTCAGCGCTGGCACCTCCTCGGAGCATAAACTCCAATTGGTGGACCAGGTTGAATGCGTTCGGGCGTCTCCGGATTGATGACTGCAAAGTCACTCCTGGCCAAGTGAGTCAATGAAGAGCTGCTGCAACAAGTTCCCTGTGTTTGGGAAGCCTCTGTTCACACTCACGATCTCGGACTGTTGCGGGCTCAGGCTGATGGTGTGGATGGTCCGGAATGACCTGAGCAATGGAATTGGAGTTGGAATTTGGACAGCAGTGAGATATTTTTTTGTGGCTGAGAGAAACACGCTGCCACTTGAGGCGGGAGGGCCTCCGGAAGCACAGCTGCTTCGCAAACACACAAACGAAAACACTGCAGCAGCGCACCTTGTAAAACTCCGAGGAATCATAGGCTGCGTACAAAACCATCATCAGGCTTGCTGATCTGTTCCATCCCTTCGCCATGAAAACTTCTTGGGGCATTGCTAACCCAGTACCTCGAATGCCTTTGTGTTTGGACCCTGTCACGAACCGAGTCACTGGACTGGACAACCAGCTGGATTGAGCATGTGTCGCTGTTAGCTTCTCCGTTCCCGGTGTATTTGGGTCTGACAGCATGCCATTTAGGCAAATCAGCTGTCCCAAAGCTGCTTGGTCAACCTGAGCTGCACGTTGCAAAACAAGTCATATGTCCAAAAAAAATGAGGGCTAGGCAGGATCTGCTGTTCCGCGAAGTCCAAAGTCGGACCTCCATGGAACTTGCCATGGTCTCAAGAACCATGACCCCAATGTGTCCAACTCACCCTGCTTCAGGTAGGACCTAAGTTCGAGCTCATTGTAAGTTTTGCTGCTAGCGTAACACTGCGAAGATGAAAATTGAGTTTTTGGCACACCTTCCTCTTCTGGAAAGTTCTCATCAATCCAATCGTAGAATGCCAAAGCATCATCCTTCCCAGTGAGAAAAGGACTTGAATGTTGGAAGGGCTCAAATGCTCAAGCAGCCTCCTTAGCCAATTTCTCAGCCAAGAAGACGTCGATCGTGGTGGCCTTGCTCTTGAGGTTATCCAACCTGAGGGCTTTTTGGGTGTTTTCAGAATTTGTGGGCCGAGACCTTTTGTAGCCAAAGAACACCCAGTCATCAAACAAAGACATGTGGGGCAAGTGCTTCGCATCGGGTGGGATAGCAGCAGCTAGATCTGGCGGTGCCCCCTTGGCTTTCTTGGCCCCCCGCAGCGCTTGCCCCGCCAGAGGTCCTCTTCTTCGGGGCCATGAGCCTGGCACTTGGAGTGATCTCACGCTGACTGCCACTGTTCAAGACGAAAACATATCTGTTTTGCGAAGAAGACGCTTGTCGTTTGTGAATTGTGAATTCTTCACAAACGACCTGTTCCAGTGACCCCCCCTGTTTTGTGAAGAATAACGACCCGATTCTTCACAAACAGCCTGCCTCCCATCTAGAAATCAGAAAAACAAATTGGGGGTAACAAACATTTGCGAATTCCTCCGGTGATCATATAGTTTTGTGAGGAATAACGACCCGATTCTTCACAAACCAGCCCCTCCGCACAGTGACGAACTT